ACATGACAGTCATTAGGATAACTCAATCAAGGCCGCAGTGCTGCACGGAGACAGTTCTTGCCTTCCTAGAGTTTATAGACTCATGCAACTCTTAAAACATAGTGTTCACCTTTAAATATAGACCAGCCTCACAAAATAACAAGGAATAGGTGCCCACAGTTTACAATGATGCACTAAAAGCATTTAATCAAAGAATATATAGAAGAATAGAATAGAACAGAATAGAACTTTATTGTCATTGTTCAGGAACAACGAAATACAGTTTAGCAGCTCTTCAGATTAGCAGGTAACAAACATATGACAGTATGACAGTGAATATATCATGTAAATGAGGTAAATAGGTAAGATACATGGATGCAGTTCATCAGCAGTTCATAGTAATTTAATCCAGAATACATGATACATAATGATTATGCATGCCAGAGGGCTGAGCTGGCAATGAGACAAAGCCCGGCCTTGTGCACAACATCCACCCGACACATGACAGTCATTAGGATAACTCAATCAAGGCCGCAGTGCTGCACGGAGACAGTTCTTGCCTTCCTAGAGTTTATAGACTCATGCAACTCTTAAAACATAGTGTTCACCTTTAAATATAGACCAGCCTCACAAAATAACAAGGAATAGGTGCCCACAGTTTACAATGATGCACTAAAAGCATTTAATCAAAGAATATATAGAAGAATAGAATAGAACAGAATAGAACTTTATTGTCATTGTTCAGGAACAACGAGATACAGTTTAGCAGCTCTTCAGATTAGCAGGTAACAAACGTATGACAGTATGACAGTGAATATATCATGTAAATGAGGTAAATAGGTAAGATACATGGGTGCAGTTCATCAGCAGTTCATAGTAATTTAATCCAGAATACATGATACATAATGATTATGCATGATCATGCATGGCTTATGATTAATGAGGACAACAGGAAAACTGCTCCACTCTTGAATAACTAATGCATAATATGTAAAAGGGATAGTTCTCCCAAAAATGAACATTTTGTCATCATGGTTCATCAATAAGATATTGTGAAGACTATGGGCAACCAAAGAATTGCTGGTAGCCATTGACTTCCATAGTAGGGAAAAATATGTAAGTCAATGGCTACCAGCAACTGTTTATAACAACATTCTTAAAAATATCTGTTCAACAGAAGAAAATGAAACTCAGGTTTGGAACAACATGAGGGTGAGTAAATGATAACAGAAGTTTCATTTTTGGGTAAACTATTTCTTTAAACTTCAATAATAAAACATGTTTTTTAAAGTCCTGAAAATATTGCACAAATTCAATGATCTGTGGGTTGCAAACATATGTAGCTGCTGTTATTCAGTACATTCACTAGGGGGCAGATGTCAGAGGTCTTCAGGGCAGATTTGTGGCTCCAACAAACATTAGCTGATAGATCTGCCTGAGTGGAAATGCTAAATGGCCGTATTAACACATATAAACATAAATATAAGCATAAATTTAGTTCTCTGGAGCAACTCTGCACATGGTCACACTGGTGTTCATGCTTACATTAGCAAGAACAATCTCATGCTGTTAGATTATCATCATTTCATAAGCACATTTAAATAAAGTCAGAGGATTTCGACAGTATCTAGATATTATTCAAAGATGTTCTTCCAGCTAAAACTCAGTGGCATTGAGGAAAATGTGCTCAGTTGCAAACTGAAGGTCATTTCAAGCTTGCAAATTCCAACTTTTTCTTACACCACTATATGATTCTGTCAAACAAAATTACAAAGATTGCATATGATCAAATATAATCAACAATTGTGAAACATTTGACTGCAATTTTCCTCCATTTTAGTCCTCCATTTATCACGTTCAAAGTTAACTCGGCTTGAAGTAAAGATGTTCTGAACTAATTTCACAGAAATCTTTTTAACCTGACTAAATCTGACTTGGGATTTAGCCTGGAATCATAAATAACACCATTGCCTTCTGTATATCCACTTTATAGAATTAAATTGTTCACAATTGATGAACTTTGGAACATTGACACTGTCACTGAGTTGAACTTAACTGACAACTGTTTTCTGTAGAACTGCTTTATAGCTGATGTTGAATTTGTTTGGTAATTGCAATAATTTTTCACCGACAAAGTTATTGAACTGAATTGAAACAGCTTTGAACTAAATTAAGCCAAATAATGACACTATTGTTTTCTGTAAATCTGTTTTATAGAGTAGAATTCATTTTGTAATTGATGAACTTTGCAAAATGACATCGTTGCTAAATAATGACAATTATTTTCTGTAGAGATGTTTTGTAGCCGAAATTAAACTTTTCAACATATTGAACTGAACTGAATCAATACAGAATTAACTTGAGCTGAATAATGACACTGTTGTTCTTTGTAGAGCTGCTGTGTGGCTGAAGTCAATTTGGTTCATAAAAAATGAACTTTGCAACATTGACACTTTTACTGAACTGAATCAATATAGAATTAAATTGAGCTAAATTTATTAAATTGACGCCATTTCATAATTATTGGACTGAACTGAATCAGCTTTGAACTAAACTGAGTTGACAATGACACTATTGTTTTCTGTAGAGCTGCTTTATAGAATTGAATAAATGATGACCTTTGTAACATTTATTGAACTGAATTGAAACTATATAAACTTAGATACTGACACTTGTCTTTTGTAAAGCTGTTTTATAGCTGAATTGAATTATTGAATGTTTCATAATTGATGCACTATGTAACATTGACAGTTACTGAACTGAATTAAATCAACATTTAATTGAGCTGAATAATGGCACTATTGTCTTCTGTAGAGCTGATTGAATTTGTTTCATAATTGATTAACTTGGTATACAGCACTATAAGTAAATGTGACTTTTGATAACCGATAATCGCTAGGCCGAGGTGGAGCGTTGTGGTGTGACGGTTGCAGTGTCTTTTGCATGATCTGGCATGTTCTGTGGGTTTATCTTCCTCTGAAAGCAGCTCATTTCCATAACGCCTTCAGACCTCTTGAAGAGCCACTCCACGCTTGTTATCCGTTGAACTCATTTCAAAATGGAAAAGCCCAAATTCTCTCTTTCCGCCCTGACAAGCACTCGGGGTGCCCTGCACATGGTGCAGATCGTGATGTGCGCGGTGACGTTTGTGGTCAGCTTCATCTGGGGTCAGCCACTTCACACCTACTGGATCTACTGCATGGTGGTGTGGGCTTTGTGTCCCATCATCTCGCTGATCATCACCATAGTGGAGATGTTCCTCATCCACAAGCTGATCCTGGTGTTCTGCATGGACTGGGACGACTTCACAACCGGCATGGCCATGATGGCGTCGCTCTGCACGTTCTCCTGCACGGCGATGTTCGCCAACTTCTACATCTGCCGGAAGTGCATCTGGGGCTGGATGGTCACGATCCTCTCGGCCGTGTGTTGCGTGCTTTACTGCGTGGAGACGTTCAGGGACAAATGCGACGCGATGCGCTCTGCGACGTACGTGGCTGCGCTGCCAGGCTTCATTAAGATTCTCGAGGCCTTCGTTGCCTGCATCATCCTCATTTCCCTGATCGGTTACGTGGGTCAACCGGCTCTGCTGTGGTGCATCGTGGCCTACGCGGTTCCTTTGCCTCTAACCCTCCTGACCATCATCACCAACATCTTGACCAAGTTAAAGAACTGTCTGCCCTTCAGCATTGATCGTTTCACCATGCTGTTGCTGTTAATATCGGTTCTGCTTTACATCTCTGCCGCCATCCTCTGGCCCACCTACAGCTTCAGAGGAAACCCGCGGCCCAAAGACTGTCCGGGAAACAGCTGTATATGGAGCATCCAGTTTGTTGTGACCTTCATGACCTACGTTAACCTCGGCCTGTACGTCGCTGACCTGGTCTTGACCTGCTTGGGTATCTGTGGATTCAAACGCTCTCAATAGTATCACTACAGTATACAGTACTTAAAAATAAAGGTTGCAAAAGGGTGTTTGTTGATGCCATTAAAGAACCATTTTTGATTCCCCAAAGAACTTTCAGTTCTTTAAAGAACCATTTTCTTTTAATGTGAAGAACATTTTAATAATCTAAAGAACCTTTTTTTTCCACTGTAAAGGTTTAATAGATGGTAAACGTTCTTCATTGAACCATCAGTGCCAATTTCAAGATACTTTCATGTTCACTGTTATTTTTGTGTTTCTATATAGTAATTGGAAATGTTTGTTTTTTTCTATTTCACTTCTATAAAAAGATTGATTTTTCAAAATAAATGGTTTTATTTAACATCTGTGTGTGTGTGTGTGTGTGTGTATATATATATATATATATATATATATTAGTATATTTATAGTATTATAACTAATAGGATGTATTAAATCGGTCAAAAGTGACACTAAAGACATTTCTAATATTACAAAAGACACAACTTTTTTTCAACATCAATAATGTTAAGAAACGTTTCTAGAGCGGCAAATCAGCATATTAGAATGATTTTTAAAGGATCATGTGACACCGAAGACTGCTGAAAATTCAGCTTTGCATCACAGGAATACATTTAATTTCAAAATATATTCAAATAGAAAACTGTTCTTTGAAATTGTAATAATATTTCACAATATTACAGATTTCATAGTATTTTTTAAACACATAAATGCAGCTTGGTGAGCAGAAGAGACTTTTTCACTGAGAAAATCTTACAGACTCTGAACTAAATATATGTGACCCTGGACCACAAAACCAGTCATAAGGGTAAATTTTTCGAAATTGAGATTTACTATACAACCGTACAGGAGGATTTAAAAAATGATATGCAGATCAGCTGAAATAATTTTAATTCATATTATTATTTAATGTCAAGGTATGTATTTATCTGATGTTGTATACACATATAACCTGATGCAGTCACATGATCACGCGTCACATTTAGTTATGAATTACATGAATCACATATAGCCTAAATTCAAAATAGCTAAATTTGATTAAAAAAAATAAACACAGGTAATTTTGTATAGTTGCATATTACTGTGGGCTACTTTTTTATTTTACCTCACATTCTTTCACCATTAAAAACTGAAGCATCGCGCTGGAAATCATGTTCATCATCTGTAAACAGTAGGCAGAACAGTCTAAAATGTAACTTTTGAAATATATTTTATGCTCATTCCTTCATTAAAAAAAACTAAACATTTTATTTTATATATATATGTAATATAATTAAAAAAATTATCATAAATTAATATTCAGACAGTTTCCAGAAAAAGACTTCCAGAATAAAAAACTCTCAAATATTTTAAGCTCCTGACAGTTGCAAACTGTTTTACAATTTTTTGCAAAATAAATGTAGTTGTGTTTGAACTGTCTTCTTTGATGAATAAAAAGTAAAAAAGAACAGCATTTATTTAAAATAGAAATCTTATATAACAATAGACACTACAATTCAAAAGTTTGGGGTCAATAAATAGTTTTCTTTTCTTTTTTTTAAAGAAATTAATACTATTATTCAGCAAGGATGCGTTAAATTGCTAAAAAGTGATAGTAAAGACTTATATTGTTAGAAAAGATTTCTATTTTGAATAAATGCTGTTCTTTTGTACTTTTTATTCATCAAAGAATCCTGAAAAAAGTATCACAGGTTCCAAAAAAATATTAAGCAGCACAACGGTTGCCAACATTGATAATAGTAACATTGATTGTTTCCAACACTGATAATATTGGCCTGTACTTGACACTGACTGGATTAATGATGCTAAAAATTCAGCTTTGCATCAAATAAATAAATTATATTTTAAAGTATATTAAAATAGAAAACTGATTTTAATGACCATAATATTTCATAACATTACTGTTTTTTCTGTATTCTGTGATCAAATAAATGCAGACTTGATGAGCATAAAAGACTTTTGAGCGGCTATATATATGTGTGTGTGTGTGTGTTGGATATTAGAAACTGTGCTAAAAAGACTGTAATGATTGCCCGACTGCATCTTCATCATCCTCACCTTTATAAACGAGCCACTCGACGTGTCTGTCCACCGCCGCCAAGCGCGTAGTTTGTCGCAGTAGAGTTTATGTTGAGGCCAGTCTTTCTTCTGACACTCTTTACTGCAGTAATACACATTCAGACAGCTGTAGAAGACAGAAAAAGATGTTATAAATGTGAGATATAGCATTTATTCTCATCTCATCAAAATCATCCCGTCATCGTACCGTGTGCATCGCTTCAGCGAGCCTGTGGCCTGTGATGGGAGTCTCTCACACTGCGCACATATTTTGAACGATTCCTCCATTTTCTCAAACATCTCCTTCGTCGAGCGGATTGTAAGAGGCTTATCGGCCTTACTGTCTGAAACACTGAAGAAAGAGAGAGAGATATTTGTCAAGCAGCGGTTGTGTAAGTATTGTGCTTAGACTGTTCTAAGAGAGAGAGAAAAAAATATTGAAATGCATTTTAAATGTATATTGTGCATAGTTAGGAGAGCAAAATATCGTCATCTTTTGCTGATCATACACTATCATTCAAAAGTTTTGGGGCGGTATGATTTTTTTGGAAAGCAATTAATGCTTTTATTTAGTAAGGGTGCATTAGATTGATGAGAAGTGACAGTAAAGACATTTATAATATTACAAAAGATTTCTATTTCAAATAAATGCTGTTCTTTTGAACTTTTTATTCATCAAAGAATCCTGAAAAAACAAATGTATCACTGTCTCCACTAAAGTAAGAAGCAGCACAGCTGTTTTCAACATTTATAATAATCAGAAATGTTTCTTGAGCAGCAAATCAGCATATTAGAATGATTTCTGAAGATCATGTGACACTGAAGCCTGGAGTAATGATGCTGAAAATACAGCTTTGATCACAGAAATGAATGACATTTTAATAGATATTCACATAGAAAACAGCTATTTTAAATTGCAATAAATTTCACTGTATTATTGTTTTTTAATGTATTTTAGATTAAATAAATGCAGCCTTGGTGAGCTTTTAAAAACATTCAAAAATCTTACACACCCCAAACTTTTGTACAGTAGTGTATCTTAAGTTGTTTATGTGTGATCCAATCAATTCCTATAGTATTTTTTGGCATCTTGATATCTAGAATCAAATTAAACAGGTGAAACATGGACAGGTTATGTAATGCTCAAAAACATGATGCAAAACTATGCAATATTAAAATAAAACATGACAGCGATAACATTAAACACAGGTTTCTATTGCTGCTAGTGTTATTGCAATTCGGTGATTCTTTAGCATTAGTCTATTCTCGGGCTCATGATCAGACCTCATTCCGGCCCCACAAACCACCCATTCACTCCTACTCTTTCAGTGAATACTAAAAATGACATGAGAATGAAGCAGCGTGAAAAACACAGGAACTCTTAGGTATTAATGTGTTAACCAGCAGAGTGTCCTTTACTTGATTTAGCCTAAATACTAAACAATAACTGAGATCCTTCATGAGGCCGGAGTGAGTGAACAGAAGCACAGACAGCTGCTGGGATATTTATATCCCCTCTCAAAATACAGCATGCAGTGAGACAGCTGAGGTTATAACACACAGCTTAAAACAACGGGTCAGTGCGTGAATATGAGCTTTACGCTATTGAACACAGACACATAAATAAATAAATAAATAAATAAATAGGAAACAAATTTTAAATTCTAAACTCAGCAGCCATTTCAATAAAGAAATAATAATAATATCTTAATAACGTTCAGCCATGTCTGCTTACTTACTAAAATCTTTAAAAGTGCACGTGTGCACGTAAACAAAACAATCCAGATTGGATCACGTGATCTCATCTGTCTTATAGTAAAGTGTGCCCTTCATTATCAGTGAAATAAAACAGGTCTTACCTGTTGGAGTTGTTCATTGTTTGCGGTCACTCACGCGCTCACAGATGCAATGAGACTGAACGGGTGTTTTATAGCTGCGCGCGGCAAGGTCGTGCGGGTGTTTTCTCGAGGCTTCTGCGCGAGACGATTCTCGATCGGGTGTCTACATGTTCACAGGGAGATCGAGAAGGGTGTTCCTGCACAACTGGAGGCTGCAGTTCTAGGACCCTATTCTTTTGTAACAGCGCCACCTACCGAATTGGATAATATAGCGGAGGCTGCAGTTTCAGGACCGCATTTCTAGGACCCTGGTGGTTTAGTTTGTAGTAATGTTTGTACATTGTTGTTAAAGATATTGAATCTCAGGAAAAAAAATGTTTTGTACACTGGCTGAAGAGTTCCTTGGAGCAAGTTTCTGGCCTCATCCTCAGATCCAGAAGGCAAACCGCTGACCATGTCTTTCAAACATCAACCAGATTAATCTAAAGTACTGCCAAAAGGACAGGCTAATAACACATATTGTGGTGCAACCAAGCAATGAGCCCAGTTTA